CTGGAGTTCTAGTGAGAAGTCGTGACCACTGAGGTCCAATTAGATGTCACGTGTGTGGATGGATGTCCCACCAACGACAATAGTTGGGGTCGCGCTAAATCACAAATTAGTAGAAGTTAGAATTCATGCACTGGCCATTGAATCGGTTCCCAGTGGCTAAATGGTATACGAGCTTGCCTTGTAACCGGAAGGTCCTGGGTTCGAATCCCAGTGGGTGCGTACTACCGATGATTCCCAAACTAGGATGAAACAGCAGCTGTCCAGTACTCCCTGGTTTTCAATGGTTCTCTAACTGATATCAGTCCGTGATCAACTCGTAAAAACATAACAAACCCTTACAAACCAAACTATAGAAAATGTAAATATTATGTTATAAACATAAATCATCATTTTTAGAGAAAGTAAGAAGGAACAAATATTCCCTGTGGTGTGAATTAAACTAATATTCCACAAAAATGAATTCTCGACACATCAACAAAACAATATTTCCATCCTATTTCCCTAGATATATAACAAATTTTTGATTGAATAGAAGTTGTGTTAATCCTTCCGGATATTCAGTTTGTACACTATTAATCAATAACTTTAATTGAATCTGAGCTGAATATTTTTTATTTGTTGTGTAATATTACCCTTAAAAATTGCAATATTTGAAAATTACAATGTGTAATAATCTGGAAGTTCGGGTAGGAAAGACATAACAGGATATAATTACTCAGAAGTGGCTAAAGTGAGCATAAAAGTTGTAAATTACGTAGTACTCAACGGCACGAAGGAAGAAATGGTTAGAAATTTGATAAGGTGAAAGGTAGTTGAGTGTCAATTTAACAAGTTCAAAAATGTACAAAAAGAACTTATGAGAGTGATAATAGTGAATTAATTATTAAAGTAAAAGCAAACTAAAAAGTGAAATTGAAAATTAATAAAAATTAATAAAGTTTCTTTTACAGGGAACGACCAGTGAAGAGGTTAAGACCATAGTAGAATAAGAGACTGGACAAACTTTTTCGTATACAGAGACCGGGGTTGTATTGAAGAATTTCCAGCGCCTCCGCCATACACAAATACCGAAACCTGACGCCCTTTTTGCCATTTGGCCTCACCCTGTAGATGATCTTGAAAGATGACTCTGGTGGAGCTATGTGGCTTGAATTCACTAAGTGCTCGAGGATTCAGCTAGTAACTGCCTTGCATTGTCCTTTTGCTAACCATACCGGATAATGTTCAGAGATGTGTGCACTTTGTGCGGCCAATATAACTAGCTCCGCAGGGGTATGTGAATTTATAAACACACATTGAAGTGGCCCAAAGCGGCAGTTTATCCTTCACACATCCATTGATCATTTGTCGGCTGTAGAAGTTGATCCGTAGCTCAGTTGAAAAGAAGGTCTTTCTCAGCTATCTGCATAAGCGGTTCTTCAGGATATCACCTTTAAATTCAACGTTCATGAGTAGTAGTTTCTTCAGCACCATCTGAGTTCTTTCAGGCTTTTCCCTTAACTTCATGTTTTTCTCGATGAATCTTGGAGGATATCCATTTTCTACGAGGATTTGTCTGAGTCGCTCCAGTTGACCTGAAATATTTCTAGAATAGTACCACTACGTATCTTCTGCTTATTACACTTATTAATGCAATATTTCTTTCAATTTCAGGCTTTGTGAGGAAGCAACTTATTACACACATCCTACTTATAATGTGAAATACTGCCTACAGAACTGTAAACGAGCATTAATGTGTCACTATATGGAGATACCAAGGGAATATTTATCAGTAAGGAAATTAAATATGATGGTACTAAACTTTTAAACTGATTGATTGTTTTTGAGAATTCATATGACTTATTATTGTGTTAACAGTGTTCTTGGGTGAAACACAAAGTGAATTCACAAGTGTTGCTTGAGACCTAGGCATCAGATATCAGATATAGTGAAATAATCAACAGCCTTCTGAAGCATATAGGCTAAGGCGTACTTCAAATAGTTTAACTGCAGTTGCTTTGAGAGAGATCCTAGCGGTTTACAATGCATCCCAGTTCTCCATTTAAACGAGAACCTGCATTCAGTCCAATATTAATTCGAAAAGTTCCAGCATTATGAAAAATGCAATATGTAAGGCTTACAGTTTCATGCATCTCTAACTGCTGCTTAAGTTATTCTCCAGTATGGAGTTTCTAGCGAAAAGCGTAAGTTATACTATCTGTTTATGAAAGATAATATTTCTACTGATAGATATCGTTTATTCTAGTCAAATATTTCGATCTCCTCTTTTAAATGTGGTCACAAGTACAGCGTTTGTTAAACACTTTTTCAACAAAACTAATGGACAGTTCTCAGAAAGTTGTTCAAATAGTAGCTATTCTTTACAAAAGTCTTTACAGCTATTACGCAAAACCAGTGACTTTCTTCACTCCTGAAATAAAATTCAAAACAGCCGCTAACGAGAAGAAATCCTAATAGAAATTTTCATCCATCTAGGTTATTGCTACAGGTACACTTTTTCTCCAATACGAATTTAAAACAAGCAACAAATATTAATAAAACAGCAGCTAATGGATTCGTCAAAATTTCAGCAGAAATTCTCAGCTGAATACTCTACATACATACAGTGGTACATTATATACTGTGAGATATACACTGCGAGATATGTGATTGATAAACAAACTAAAGTGAGTGAATCATGCGAAACGACAGGTGCGAATGTTTTACAGCACAGATTCAAACAGATAAGACGGAAGGAGTATGAGTGGTTAAAATTAAGACTGTAATGGATCACAATTCAGTTACATTACTTTAATAAAAAGTAAGGTGCTTTAAAATCGTGATTTGGTAGAATTTAGAATTCATGGGCTGGCCATTGAGTCAGGTACCAGTGGCTGAATGGTCTACGAGATTGTTTGTTTGCAGCCAAAAGGTCCTGATCTCGAAAACCGATGGGTGCATACTGACGATGAGTCCCTGAGTAGGACGAAACAGTTGTCTAGTACTTCTTGTTGATTTTCAATTGGTTCGCTAACTGATATCGACCTGTGATAAAACTTGGAAAACAATAAGTTATCAGGAAAAGACTTTGAAATGCGAGTGATGAAACACTGAATAAAAATACTACGACAGATTTTCAAAATGGGAATCGACGGTTAAATCAGAGATATTGTTTAAACAGGGACAGAAAACCTGAAACTAGGTGATAGTGTCTTCTTATCACGTGATGAAAGTCCAACAAATGATAGGCTAGGATAATGATAATGACATATGACAGTTTTAATTGAGTCAAGAATAATAATAAGGCATGAATGAAATATTAATAACAATAATAATAACAGTTAACAAGCAAAAGATATTACGATGATAGGTTCAAAGTTATTACCATTTCGTCCTATTCACCATGTCCTATACCACGTTTATAAACCCTAGTCGCAGAGCCTTTTGTGATTATGCAACAGCAGAAGGCAAGACACGGAAGCCAAGGGATATTTTCAAGTGATCAAACAGCTAGTTATATATGCAGTTTTATATTCTTTAACCAATCACTGATCTTGTGACTTTGGTTTACATTAAAAGACATGAAATATAATGTTCAAATACATATATTATATTCTGTTGCTAATGGCAGTATTGAACTGTGGGAATAGTATTCAGACGTTAACACGAACAAATGCAATGATTCTAACTGTGAGCATAATATTCCTTTGGAACCCATTGTCTGTATCACACCACCACAGTTATATTGATGTGATTGAACTCTAATACATGATTGTCTTAATTATGATCCGTCATTTTATTTCCCCCCTATCTGTCTGAACACGTACTGTAATCCATTCGCACCTGTCGTCTCACGTGGCTCATTTATCAGTCACACATCTCTCAATGTATTCTCATAGTATATAGATTGCACTGTATGTATGTAGAGTATTCAGCTGAATGTTTTTGCTGAAATTTTGATAAATCCATTAAATCCCGTTTTATTAATATTTGTTGCTTTTTCATAATTTTTTTATATTTTTAATTCCTTTATGTTCCCAGTAGAACATAAGACTTCATGCTAGAGGCTTGAAGTTCCTGTAGCAGTGGTATTTATTTTTACGGGATGCGGTTGCTAGCCTCACGACCAACTTTTCCTCTATACCAGTCTTATTACTGGTATAACTCAAAACATTCAGCTGCAAAAATTAATTTTATCTACATAACAGGGATTCCAGTATTAAGGGAGAAAGCACATCACCAACAACCCTTTGACGACTAGTCTTAGAAGTGGATTTGCAAAATGTTTATCAGTTAGCGATCTACACAGTTCGAAACATGTTTAAATTTCACCATAGTTTCCGTTAGAAACCAAGTCACTGAGATCAGAGTATGTGACCTACTTAACACCACATACTACTGATTGGTTGAAATGAGTAGTTGCATACAACTAATATCAACCAGCAGTGCTTGCTAACCAGTCAGATCGAGGTGATCTAAACACCGAATGGCAGTTAAACTCGTTTGGAGCTGCGTTCATCAGAGAGACAGAGAGAGACAGAATCACTTCAAACCACCAGAATTTCTAGCCAGCTACTTGGTCGAACTGATAGCTACGGATCAATTAAATATTTTCACTAACTTCAGTAGACATTGCCGAGTAACAGGGGCATGAAATTATATGTTAACGTATCACTTTAGGGAAGGCCAGTAGACAGAAATACTGGATTCCAGGATCCCTATTATTCACTACAATATATCCGGTTTCAAATAACTGAACATAGTATCTAGTCAGTTGACTTGTCTTTTGTCAGTATTAACAACTGAAGTAGAGGCTTCTTTCTTGCTGTTCCTTAGTTATCTCTGGTACAGCGTCACTTACAATCTGGATACAATTAATCGCTACTTTAATATGCCTAATAATACATTTTGTAATTACAAATAATTGTTCTCTATCCTATTTTTATACTTCGTCCAATTACTCATGCTTTTTTAAATTCATATAATGCTTGAAATTCTCTAAATTTTCTTTAAAAATTCAGGAATGTTATCAAGCTTCACCTTACGGAACGCTAAGTCAGATTTATCAAAATGGAACAGGTGTACCACCGAACAGCTACGTTTTATTTGTCACATATATTCAAGATAATCTGTGTGCAGGAAATCTTTATGCCTATGCAACATCTTGTCAAAATGATCCTCTAACGGATAGGTAAGAGTTTACTCTTACTCTGACTAATAAAAGGTAGACATGCCAGGATAATAATAATAATAGCAATATTTTTGAGGGGAAATACTTTCAGAAACCTTACTGAGGTATTTGATTTCAATGGAAATGTTCCCCACAATTACGTCCTTATTTTTATTATTAAACTTAAGAATTTCCGCGCGGTGTGAAGAGTTACTAGTTATACGTTCACAGTGTTATAATGAAATTGACCAGAAATCTACACTAGAAGCTGCAGAGCGATAAACAAATTTAAATATTCAAGAGTTAGTTTGTTGGGATTTGATTGCTTTCAAGTTCAGTTGATTGGTGACAACTGACTCCAGTGAAACTTACTCAACAGTCGTTCTACGAACTTAACAAGGTATGGATTCTATGGTCTTCACATAATTACATGAAATATGTAAAACTATGGAAGATTACGAATATAGCCCGTGCTTGCAAGCAGGCCCGAAAATACTCATAATAAACAGCTCTTATAAGTTTATTCCTTCTTCTAAGGTATACTGGTGATACATTTACTGTGTGGAAGTCTGGACAAATTTCTGTTTCTTCACATATATATATATATAGTTCATTTAAATACTGAGTTAGAAAATGCGTAGATGACACATTCACTATACTTAGAACACAAGATATAGATAGGTTTTTCGAACACATCAACTCGAAGGTTGAAGCATTTCAATTCACTTATGAATTGGAAAATCAGGAAGGGGAGCTCCCAATGTTAGATTGCAACGTAAAGAAGAAAAAAGATGGGAAGTTAAACACGAGTGTTTACAGGAAACCCACACACTCAAACAGATATTTGGACTTCCGATCATCCCATCCTATGTCAGTAAAAATAGGATCAGTGAAATGTTTAAATGAGAGAGCACAAAAATTAAGTAGTACCAAAGAAAATCTAAAACAGGAACTGATACATATAAAGAAGCCTTGAAACTTAATAATTACCCGGATAAATTAGTCAGGAAATATGTAAGGAAATGTAAAAATAAAATAAATAATGATAGTAGCGATAGTGATAATAATAATAATAGTGATAATAATAATAATATTGATGACGACACCAACAATAAGGAATCTAAATCATCAGTAGTAATTCCATACAAGGAAGGAACCTCGGAAGCCTTACACAGAATTATTAACAAGGCAGGAATAAAAACGGCATTCAAACCCACAAACTCAATTAGAAACAAGCTTTGTCGGTTAAAGGATCCTGTAGAACCTTTAAAACAAAACAATTTAGTTTATCTAATACCCCGCCTGCAATGACTGTCAGGTCAAATACATAGGTCAGACTAGTAGAACAGGGGCAGTCATACTAGCTGAACATAAAAACTTAGCAAAATCTAGATTGGTTGACCCAAATAAGATAAGAAATCTAGAGAACAGTTCAGCTGTAGCACTACATGCAGTCACACAACCATACAATAGGATGGGATGGGATGACAGTTTTAAAATCTAATGTCACAGGGTTTGAGGGAGGGAGAGATTGATAACAGAAGCTTTGTTTATCGAATCAACTGCAAATACATGTAATAGGAATGATTCATCACCTGTCCCAGATTTCTGGAAAATTCTACTACCCCTACGACAAATAGGACAGAACAAAGAAAGCTGTAAAACTTAAGTGTCAAAGTCGTATGATCACAATTGATATGATTATGAACAATAAATTTTGTGGTGTAGGGTCGCTAGCCCTGTATCGAATCGTCCCTCTTTACACGGGTTTAGGACCGGCTAGAAAACCAGCAAGCTAGTTAACTAGGTGAGGTTATAAAAACTTAAAGTGATATCCTTCTCAAGCGTTGATTTACAAGGATTTCATTGGTTAGAGGAATAATCATGAGCTGGTGTCAGTTCGAGAATTAGCAGAGTTTCAAACTCATGGACCACTGGGACAGCTCACAGTGGCTAAAATGGTATATAGAACTCATCTTTTAACTGGAAGGTCCTGGAATTGACGCCTGTGTGTGCGTATTGACGAAGAGCCCCTGACTAGGACGAAACAGCTCTCCGCTACTCTCAGGTTTTCCAATGGTTCTCTAACTGATATCAGCTCATGATGAACCCTGATATATTTATCGCTTAAGCACGTAATCTAGGAGTGACCTTGATCATTACTAGTATTCCCTAACTTATGCATACACACTAGTGCAAGATTGGATAGAAATCTTTAAAAAGCACAGATGTAAATGGAAATTAATTCCTCAAACCAACTAGCATCCAACATAATAAGTTTAAATAACGCAAAATCAGCTAAAGGCTTCTATTGCCACATACTCTGTGTATGACAATTCTGAATAGAATAGACTGATCCTCTTGCTGCAATCTGTTTCAAAGTATTTTCCCTGCCAATAATTTATAATCATATTACATTATCGAGTTCGAAGGTAAGTCAGCTTATTTTTTATAGTTATTTCTTTTAGCCAATACTGAATGCGTCTTGAAATACCCCAGTTTTATCTCCAGCATTTCAAACTGAATTATCCAAAATTGATCTACGTTTGAGACCCTAATTTGACCTTTTATTGCATTGCGGTTATGTTTAAAAAGCAGGACACTATTAGCATTTTTGCTTCTTCTTAGTTACCTAATTCTAACATTATATGTAGTCAGTGATAGCTATTTTCAGCATTAACGTCTAGCCAGTCTGTGTTTTTATATGATAGAGAAATTTAGCGTGTCTTCAAAGCCATTTCAAACAGTCTTAAGACTTTCAACAACACCTGAAGTCACTCCACAGTGAAACTCAGATGGTTGGTCAGAAACAATTAGCATCTAGGAGTTCTGACATGCAGTAGTACAGCCTTTCGAAATAGATTGCAAAGAAGAGGGTAAAATGGGGATGTACCGTTGAAACTTTATGTTCCACTCGGAACCTATAGGAATAATTATGTAACAGTTATTAACTATAGGAGATTCATAAGTTTACATTGATGGGTAGTATGATGCTAGTTCTCTTACCGTGTTAATGTGAGCAGACTAGCTAAATTTTCTAAAACATAATTTCCAGCCATCTTACTATCTGGTATTTACTTTTTACTTTTTTTCAATCAGACCAGTGATGGGCTACTTGAACATGTGTCCCGATATGTTCTCTAAGAGAGTAGTGAATCCAAGTGAATGGGTAAATATAATTAAACATGAAGTTGGCCATGCATTGGTGAGTAGTATTCTAATTATTCTTTTTTTAATTGAAAAATACAAATTGTTGATTATGATCATTCGAATTCTTGTGAGATTAAGTCAAACGCTCCAGTTTACTGGAAATCTTCATGTTTATTCCCTTAGGTTCACAGTGGAACACAGGGCTTCAGCAGAATATCTCCATTTTGTCCCGTTCTCCTCAGTTCTCTTCAGCTGGCCCCACGATTGCCCATAAGCTTTAATCTTGCCCTTATACAATCTTCTCCATGTCACTCTGGAACGCCAAACTCGCCGTTCCTCACCCGATCTCCACTCGGAGGCTGTATGTGTAATATCATCCGACAGTTGTGTCAGCCTGGGTCTAATCCACTTCCATTTACTTCGACATATTTGCCGAGTAATAGGTTCCTGATTGGTTCGTTCCCAGAGTTCCTTGGTACTAATCCTTTCTAATCTGATCTTCAGAATGGAGCTGGAGAATGCAGCTGTTGATAAACATTTGAGGCGGCCTGTTGAAAATGCTTTTGGTAACGCGCAGTGCTAGTATCTGAATCATATAGAAGAACTAACTTGACACTAGTGAAGAAAATCCGAATCTTGCTCTTCATGCTGACTGCAATAGATTCCCACGTCAGTTTCAAAGTGATGACGGTCTGTTTTACCTATCTTATCCTACTTTTGATATCCTTATCTATGTTGCCTGTGGTTGAAATGGTGCTGCTTGGATAAATGACCATGATTCTCATACCAGAAGTGATATGAATAAATTTAGAGCATTTAAATTACCAGAAAATATTCACGCTCACATTTCGTGCTTTCTTTGGTCGAATAAAACATTTCACAAATAGGTCTCACACTGTCAATAGACGAATCACAAAATTAATGTTTTCCCACCACATAATTGAAAAAACTGATAGTCTAGAATAACGAGTGTGAGGTGCAATCATCGCAGATGCGTACAATTTGATTCACACAAAATTGAGAAGAGTTTTCAGTCTCTGGCTCTATTTAAATTTTGTCAGATAGAACCAACTGACAGGAAGATCAAAAGTTTTCATAGTAGCTCATTCAATCGTTTTTGTGAAGTTTTGTTGTTACAGTAGATTAGATTTCTTGTAGGCACTTTGTATATCTAAAATGAAGCGTATATTACCTCCTATTAAATTAAAATCACTTCAGGTTCAACATTATCTTATGCGAGGAAAATTTACATAAAGTTCCCTTTAAAAAACAGCTAATTCTCAGGCTTATTTTATGCAAATTCAATTTTAGGGAGTATCAAGTTATCATTATGCACTAATGCGTGATGAACGCGGACATCCTCGAACAGAAAGGGATCCCCGAACAAATCTGCCTAGGCATAGAGATACGAACAACAATTACCTAGCCAGGTAAAAACAAAGTACAATGAAACGTTATCTTTGACGAATATTTCAGTGTTTTTAAAAGATTTTTTGAATGGATATCTTCTTCCTGTTGAGTTCAATGAGTGAGCATATCTTAAATTTCACACAATAATGAATATCGTCGTATTCGTTTATAAAACAACAGTCCGAAAATACTAATGTGACACCTCATAATGGAAAGTTGTGCTTCCCTCTGGTTCTTTACTGACAATCAAACGAAAAACCGACTAGAAAATAATCCTACATTAACCAGTTAAGACGAAATTGTTTTGGTTTTATATCAAATGTGAATAAAATCATGTATAAATCCCACCAGCAAATTTATGAATAAGTTTTCAAGTATTGGTCTGTAGGAATCTGTCTCCAGCTTGATCACGGACTGATATCATTTACAGAATCATTCATTTCCAGGTTGCAGGGGATAGGTGTTTCGTCCTAGTTCAGTACTCTTTAACAGTACGCACATATGACCCTACATCTGATCAAGCTGAGAATCGTCACGTTATGAGGTAGGTTTGGTGACCATTCAACCACTAGGACGACACCCGTGGCCTATGAATTCTCACTTATACCAGCTGGCAATTTCAGACCGACTGCTAGCCAGTGTCATAGGCTAGTATCTGTTCTCACACCTGACCCACTGGTAACGACTTCTCAATGAGACTCTAGGAAACTTCGTCCTGCAACCAGTAGCCAGAGAACTTTCGACTAATTTTCAAGAGTTAGCTGGGGTAAATCAGTCCATCATAGCTGAATCAGTTATATTTTTAAATTAACTCAAATCAACCAATGGTGCTGATATAGTTGGCCCAGTCCTAGGGTGGTGAGAGCTGCCTGCAAGCCAAAAATTGCAAACAGGAATTTACGTCAATATTTTGATTTGACACTAGTAACTAGTGTGATGCGTCTAGTCCTCTCTTTGGTGCAGACTGAATTCTATCAGTCAGGTTGTAATGTGGCCACCATTCTAGGTAGCTCGCCATCACGGTGTACATTGTTTGTGATGATATTAGATGGTTGGAGGCAATCGGCAGGAAGCCTTGGACCTAGGTTTCGTGCTAGTTGGCACTCTTCAGCAAGGCGTATCTGCAACCTTGAAGGAACTCATGTCCCTTCTGAGATTCGAACCCGCGTCACCCAGTGCTGCATTCAGAGACGAATCTCAGAAGGGATGCTAATGATAATGTGCATAGAGATCCATGAATATCTCTTAATTCTCTCAATAGAGGATCTGCTGCCTGGCCCTTGTTTTCTGTCGTTATAGTGATATTGGGCACACTTAGGAGTGAGATCATAAATGGTGCACCTAAACGCTGATATTATAAGCTATTTTGCAATTATCGATTGTCATCAGATGGTAAGAATGTCACACTTGTGGGCACACGTCATGATGGATTGTTAGCAAACCTGAGAGATTATTTCCCCTGCCAGATTCAGGAAGTCGAAGACTTTATAAAGGCTGTAATCAGTTTGAGACTAACCTCTAGTAGGAACACAATGGATGCGCCGTATGGTTAACAGTGAGGCAATGTATCTTCCAGATATTGCAAATAGGTAATAAACTTAACCTGGAAGCTTCCTGCCGACTAATTCAAAAATGAATGATCAGTTGATAGTAGAGAGTGATGGCAGGTTTTGAATTTAGTGGCTACTTCGCTAATTCCACTGACAAAAATCAGTCAGCATTGGGTATTACGTGAACGTTGCAAATCCTTTTCAGCCATCTAATCTTTAGAAGCTCTAAATTCGCATGTAATTAACGTAATTGTCTGGCTTCTAACTCCGTTGGCTGCGTAATTATGAGAGGTTCCAAACTAGGGCGAAGATACTTTCAGAAAGATAACGTGAACTTTGACTCTATTGCTGTTGGTATTCACTGTGCAATCTGAAATGATAATACCTTATTGAACATGCGGAAAATACATTAAAAATTAGCGCTGAAATTTGGTTTGTGGCTGATTAGTGTTGAGAAATCCTGACTGTCTTAAGTCGATCATACTTTCGGTGTGTAGTAAAGTGAATGTAAACATTTCTAGAGATTTGGTTGCACATATAAGTAATTTTAAGTACAGATAATCAGACTCAATAGAGTGAATGGAGTAAAGGTTGCTCGAACTACAGTATTACCGATATACACATACATCCATGCATCCAGTCTCACTGAAATAAAAACTCGTTACATGTTTAGTGAATAGATCAGTTATGGCGACAAACATATGACATACAGGCACATTATTCTAAAGTTTACTGCAAGTAAAATAATAAGAATAGACATTTTAATACAATTTTAGACAGTACAATTAGACAGTGTACCTTCTGATTCCCAAATTAGCGAATAACTTTATAAAATGGATAGCGTTCGACGATGGTTGATCCCTTATTTCACCAGTTCCACAGCAAGACACAACAGTTACTCGTTTAAAAGATTTTTGTAATCTGTTTATAGTTTGTGAGCCTCCAGCTGTCTACAATATCTTGAAACAAAAAGTTATATCTGTCGTTAGTGGGGTTGAACGTTATATTTTTTTATAAAAATGCCACTGGTGATCGCGTTTTGTTTCTAACTAACCACGTTCTGTATGCGATTTGCAGAATTAAGAATTAGATGTCTCAATAGTCTACGTTACCTTTAAAACTTAAAAGTATTCACAAAAAGTTACGGCAAATCTCCTATTCTTACTTCGGTCACAGTACAAACACAATTCAGAAAATTCAACGAAACTGGATGTCAGCGGTTACAACCGTTCCTAGGATCGTCACTTCTTTAGTAACCCCTTCTGTACTGGTAAGATAATTGCGTCTTTGTTTTTTTTAAACTACATTCTTAATTTCGAATTAATAGAGGATGAAAGCAAAGTGTTTCTGCATAGTTACATGCTGTTTTAACGTCAGTCGCACAGCGGTAGAATGCTTGCCAACCAGGCCGCATGTGGTCCGGGGTTCGATCCCCAGCCGAAGCACTCCCAAACCTCGCTAAGCCATCAATGAGAATGGTAAAGAGAGAAGTTTGGGCATGAGACTAGCAGCCCCGTCCCATATTAGTAAACACCACTGCTAGCAAAACTTCAAAGCTCTAGCTGGAAGCTCTATTTTCTACTGGGATCGTAAAGGAACAATAATAATAAATAATAATATGCTTTTTTAGACAACTCTTATTGTTATTGATGGTATAGGGGAGTGGAAAGTATTCGATTGCATATAACCAAAAGTGTACAACGAAATAAACTACGCTTAATTATTTATTAAAAAGTCATTTTCATTTTACAGTTGATTCATTTGATTGAAATGCTCTACTTGGGTTGACTTATGGGCCCCTAATACGGACGCTTTGACAACAACTGAGGAGTGGCTTGAAACAATTTGGTTGATGGTGACTAGCACTTCGTCCTTTCCTGGAGTTGTCAGCTGTTACAAATGAAAGCGATGATGTTCCCGTTGAGGCTCAAACCCAGTACTCATTGTTTCAAACACCAAAGATTTATCACTAGACCACTTAGGCTTTGGAATTCGAAACGATGGGTAGTGGCTTCATGCGTCAATGGGAACAACGCTTACTTTCACTAAGGATTGCAGGTGCATCCAGATGACGGGTCCCGAAAGAGGAGAAATACTTACCCTGAATTCCACCGCTTGCCACCACTCAATAAGTTCTTTCTGACTGTGTTGGAATTTCATAAGCGAAGAATTTCATTGTCATTATTCTACTGAGTAAACTTTCTAAATTCATGTTTCTAGTGAATTTCGGAATCAAGTATACACAGTTGATGACAATTATGGGGAAACTGCATGATGTGATTCATTCAAATGAAATGGCTTGATTCGTTTCCAACAGCAGTATTTACAAGATAACTAAGTTCTCGTGATTTTCACTCAAGTTCTAGTGATTAAACGTAAATAAAAGAGAACAAAATCATTTGAATACATACCTATTCTGTTTTTAACATATTCATTCAGAATGCAGCTCGTAAGCATTTTAATTGTAAAACACTGGACGGTGTCGATTTGGAAAATGAAGGTTCTTTAGCCAGTGCTGGATCACATTTTGAGGCTAGAATTTATGGTGTAAGTTCAAAATCCCCAAAAGTTATATCTCCTTGGAACTGTGTGCAATTAGTCTATTATCTGCCATTCTGATCATTTCCATATGATCAAATTGGTACTGAGGAATATAAATGAAGGAAAAGTTGAAATAGATATTAGGATTCTGTTTCACGAATGTTTAAATTAATAATTGAAGCCTATTTCATAGTCAATAAATAATATGGGCTAGTGCGTTGGGGTTCAATGCAAAAATGCTCTATAGTCGTGTAGGAGGTCCTGGTTCAAGCCTTAGCTGATACATTGTAGAATTACGCCCGTTTACTAGACAGCAGTAAGTCCGGAAGAGGGTGAAGTTTGGACATGAGAAAACTACATTGATACCGAAACTGCAGTGGAATAAATCTCAAAATTTACAATTTCAACATATTTACCATAGCTACATTCAAATTATACCGAACGGTTTTCATTTAATAATTTTGCTAGGCACGCAACGATTGTCTGATAATTTGAATTTTTCTTCACGGATGTATATTTAAAAACCTACTGTAATCATCTTGCAAAAGAGGTGGTTTCATCTAACCATGAATATGTACAAGCTGTGAAGTCTTCATATTTCTAAGTTACATAATGCTGAAATGGAAGCTGAGAGGTGATAAGAACCACACTAATTAAGTCTAGTAAATACAGTCTGATTAACTGCAAATATTTCAAATTTGATCATGGACTGATATCAGTTAGAGAACAATTGAAAACAAGAGGTGCGGGATAGCTGTCTAGTCCTAGTCCGGGACTCTTCATCAGTACTCACCCATTAACTCGCTGGGAATGCAGCTCAGGATGTTCGAGTTATGGCCAACCTAGTTAACTAGTCAACTACTGGAACGGAATCTAATGACATATTTAAATCATTTTTGAGCTTGATGTTTTCAAGCTGATCAACTGCTTCAGAGTGCATTTAAAAGTTAGACTGATGGTAGGTGGCAATTGGCAAACAGCCTTGAATATAGGTTTCATGGTTGTTAGTAAGACGTATTTGCACTCATGAATTACCTCGTGTACCTCCTGAGATACGAAACCGGATCACCCAGTATTGCAGTCTGATACATCACCATTGAGCTATCAGAGCTCGTGACGACGTCCTGTTGGACTATAATGGATACTTTGATTTATGCGGACTTAATGATAGAATTCAGTCTGCACTGACCAAAGTACCAGAAACATGGTACCAGTACTACCTAGTGCCAAAGCAATGAAATATAACGCTGTAATCATTTAAACTAACGGTGGAATATTTACTCCAGTGATATCTACTTCTAAAATATATATTCATCTATACTATTCATTACATTCAAATGTTCATAATACTCATTAGGATGAACTTATGGTTGCTGAATTACAAAAGAAGTCACTGATCACACCAATCCTACTGGCATATATGAATGATACTGGGTAAATCTAAATTGAAAGTTTCTTTTTAAACTGATGTGAACAATTCTGTTTATTTCATATTTAATTTTTTCCATTTTTCCAAACACACGTTTTAGGCACAGTTAAAAGCTGAAAATTTCTTCATGAAATGCTAAAGTCAAAATTAGCAATAGTAATATGCATTATTATGCCAAAAGTGAATATTTTTTATTGAATTTAATTTCGACTTTCCAGTTGATTGATTGCATCGAAGGGTTCGACCTCTGTTGACACGTCGGCTCCTTGTGCTGGTGTTTCTGAGCACTTAACTTGAAGCAATTTATTTAAAATTTTTTATTCCTTAACGTTCCCAGTGGAACATAGGGCTTCCAGCTAGAGGCTTGAAGTTTCTGTAGCACTGGTGTTCATTTTTACGGGATTTGGTTGCCATTCTCATGCCCAACGTTCCCTCTTTACCGATCTCATTGCTGGCTTATCAAGGTTTGGGAGTGCGTAAGCCGGTGATCAAACCCCAGACTATAAGCGGCGGGGTTGGTGAGTATTCCACCTCTGTGTTACCGACGCACGTATATATATGTAAGGACAAATCTTGTGTTTGATATTCTTGTCTAGCCACGTCTGAGTCATGAACGGTCATCAAAGTTTATGCGGTTTTACTTATTTCATTTTCGATAATGATTATAATCTTGCTGAGATTTACACAAATACAATATTCATGAAAAATCCCCATTCGAACATTAACAGACAGAAGACCAGTAGTTCAGTGAAGAGTCTCTTTTCGGCGAATTCATTTTCATAGCTGTACAATCGCAAATATATATAGTTGTTTTGTATGTGGATGTGTGTACATTAAATTTGCCAAACGAAAATTCAATTAGTAAGTTCAGATGAATTGGATGTTGATATAAGAGGGTAGTAACAAAAGTGATGAGTTGTCACAAACGATTGTTAAAGAAGAGTTACGTAATAACATGAATAGTTTGGTGAAAGAGTTGTGCTCAGGGTGTACACGGAAACAAAATAACCTAGGGAATTACTTAAGAGTTTTAAGTAGTTAGAAAAATCAGCATACAAGGAAAAGTTAAGTTAAATCAACAGAGTTGTTACCATGATAGTAGAAATGGTTGAATAATTTTCTTTTATATGCATAGTTCTGGTTCTTCTAACTGAATGGCTAGGGTTTCTGAGATGCAAAGAATACAATATTAACATATGTTTACTGTTTATAAGCTGAGATTTTGTAAACTTTAGTTTAATATTACTTAAATAAAGTTATCAGTATTAAATAGCGAAACGTCAGTAATAACAACAGTATCGTTATGTTAGTTCATTCATTGGGAAATACAAATGTTTTATAATAATCACTTTTAACTATTAATTATGTAGCTGCTTGTATTGTTATTATTCCCTTGGGTTCTGAGCGGAATATAGGGCTTCAACAACACATCTCCACTTCGTCCTCTTCAGGTGGGTCCACGATTGCCCATAATCTCACATCTCTTCCTCGCCACACTATCTCCTCCATTTCACCCTAGGACGACCCACTCGTCGCTTCTCACTGGGATTCCAATCGAGCGATGGCCTGCATTGCGCGAGATGTCATTCAACGTTTTCCTCAATGTATGCTTGATTCGTCTCTATTTTTTTAGCTGCTTGTACCTTATACTAATTCACTCCTTCGACAAAACTTGACAGCTGTAATTACCGTTTATAAAAGTATTTGATGAAGACGCATAGGGTTTTAGTTATTGGCTAGTTTCATAGCTTGTTTTATTACGTGATGATGAAGACGATGATAACACACGCCAAGTGATTGACAACCAAAATACTCGGAGAAATCACTGAAGTGAAGACAGCAGTGAGATAAAGCCGCCTTTTTTTCGCCGGCGTTATTCCTGATTGTGGTGGAATGGATCCTGTAGCAGATAAGAATACGATGGGCCGGGAAGGAGACTCTGGAAAATTTGGGCCTTGTGGACGATTTATGTCTAATGTTAAACAAACTAGATCTACAGACGAATATCAACGAGTCGAAAGAAAAACCACATAAGACAATACTTCAAGTGAACAAAGAGAAGATTTAGGTGGTGAGCGTACCAGACAAATAACAACAAGTACCAGTTCCTACCAATGGGAGAAATTTGAATGAAGTCACGTCTTTCACTTATCTAGGCTGCATCATTTCAACTACAGGAGGCGAAGACGACTATGCCAAAGTCCATCAGAAGTGTAAAAACAAGACACACTTTGACTACTCTGAAATCACTATGAGAATCTGCTGAAATCAACTTAAGAACCGGATTAGGATCTTCAGCACTAATATCTAGTCGAGCATTACTTCCTTACCCCATACTGAAGGTTAGATGACCACATAGAATAGGCAACAGCAACTCTGATAACGTACCAACCAAGAACCTATTATTCAAAGAATATACCCATGGAAATGGAAATGTATTGGAGATACTCTGAGAAGACCATTGAGTAATATCACATGTCAAATGGGCTGTCGATTGAAACCTGATTGGAGGAGCAACGAACTGGGCACCCGAGGTTGACATACAGGAAATGAAAGCTTTCATGCTACCATGGAGACAGGTAAAATGGACTACAGAGAACAGAGTGAATTGGAGATTTCGAAGCATAAGAGAATAATAGTAAATTCAGTTATCTATGTAATAAATAATTTTTGAGTCTCTTTATGGAAATGTTACTTTTAGTTGCTCAATCGCTTATCCAAGTAGACTGGGTAAATTCAATGGTCTATTTGCAATACTTTTAGGTGGACATTCTATAATTCCACATTAGCTGATTATTAGGGTAGCGGCGGCCTGCTTATAACTTGGGCTACCAAAAACTTCCTTTTTTTCTATTGCATATATTTTCTCTCGTTCGGTTTGTTTTAATCCATTAAGATACGACCTCTAGTGATATTATCTACTCTTGTGTGTATTTAAAATGCTTACAAGCTTCTGATTCACAAGTTCCTGCCAAACCTGAGGAAAGGTCTGAATGTGGGTGGCAATGTGTTCCAACATATGGGATAATTGTTCTTTAGTTAAGTCCTTGGGTCTCAACATATACTTCTGAACATCTTACAATTGGCTTTCACAGCTAGATATCGTGGATTTCTTGAAGGAGACAAAGCAGATATATCACATAATGGAATGATTTATGCTTCAGCTAAGAGAGAGCATTGTGTCACAGGAAGGATATACTGTCAGTTAATTATAATACTTGAAGATATTATACCCGGGGAAAATATGATGCAATAAACTCCTCTGAAAATCCCGTAAATTTTATAAATACTGTCCAGAGTAAAGATGTTATTATTATCCTACATAAGAATGGCACTAGAGAAGAGTGGGTACTGTATGTTTGTTTTTTTATTTTATGTTTGCTTTTTACATGATTGCATTCTCCGCATTTATTATATTGAGTCTGAAATGTATATATTTACTTATTAGATTTTGTATTTACTTCAAACATTTCTAGTTGGTACAACGTCAATTTTAGAGTGGCTGAAACCTGGGAATACGGTAAAAATTTAGGATGTACTTTTGCCACACGTAGCTGTTACGAATACATGGTCAGCCAAAAATCGAGGTTAGTATAGTCTTGTTCATAATTAGAGATAAATAACCTATCGTGCCGTAAATATTTGTACAATCCATTCAACAGCTATTTGTTGACACCATATGGGAAGTAGTTCACAGTGAAAAGCAGTAAGACAAAGCTGCATAGTGTCACCCATGATCTTCCTGACTGTGACTGACAGGATTATGCGACTGTGGGAAGTAGTGACATGAGTATAGCTTAGACTGAAAAAATTACACTGGAACATCGAGATATTTCAGGTTATTGATTTGTATATGAGTGCAACCAAACAGATTAACAGAAAAATCAGTGAAGTTATGACTTTTGGTGAACATCAAAAAGAGACTGAAATCTCTTTGAAGACCTACAGCACTTCACACAAGGGACATGATTCAAATATGTATCAGTAATTTGAAATCAGTAAGTGCTTCTTTATAGTTGATTGCCGTGCGTTACCAGAAGCATGTCCAAAAGCCTGCAGCAGACTTTTTCAACTGATCCTTTCTCCACTACTGAAAGTCAAATAGTTCAGTTGGGATGGATAGGTAACGGGGGACTTTGGTAGCCAACCATTCAAGAACCTATTGCCTAACAAGTATACAGAAGGTAATGCAGATGGATACGCTGAGAAGACGGTTGACTTATATCGTGGGCCTTTTTCTAAAGTAGCCTTCGAATGGATATGGAATGTCGAGATGGACGTTCGAAGTCAACACGGAACGGATCATGTGGATAGCAAATGAAAGTTTGTGGGCAGTCATCATGCCAGTCAGAAACGATGGCAGAAAACCGAATGAAGTTGTGATGTGCTGCTACAGCTCGATAAACAATTAACGAATAACAGAACATAAAACCTGCCGTTTTATCACGAAATTTGTGTTCTTCAACATGAACAAAAAGTGTCTGAAATATCTACTGAAATAGAGTTAACCCAATTTGAAAACCAAATATTACTTTTGTCTATTGTAAATCTAACAACGTTATGATATGTCAGGATTGGATTTCTGTCAGTGTATGATAAACTGAGTAAAATTATGAAAATTTTTGTGGAAGAAATCATCCATACACAATTCTGAATTTATATATATATATATATATCTGGGCAGCTTTGCTAGTCTCGTACATGGTGCGGACATTCCATGTCCCCACACAGACTTTTTCTTTTGACGCAAGGAGATTGTTCACGCTGAAGTTTCTGTAGCAGGAGGAGATCATGTGAAGAGGAGATGAAAGCATGTGGGCAGACCTGGAGCCAGGTGAAAACTCTAGCAGAGAACCGAACGCAATGGAGACGCATGGCTGAAGCCCTATGTTCCTCTAGGAACTAAAGGAAATAATAATAATATATATCTTTAAATATTCCCATCATTATTATTAGAAGAAGATATATAAGCGAAAAGTATTGTTTTCAATTAGATCTTCTTCAGACTTTACTCCAGTATACATAGATTCATATATAAATATATATACGTATATAAAGGCTATATAGGGTGAACAACTAGACAGCTTAACAAGCGCATTAATGAGCATCTTCCTTCGTGATTCGGAAAAGGTCAAATAAAATCTGTAAGTTCTATTTTAACTCATTTAATTGAAAGCGGTCACCAGGTAGACGGAAGAAGTGCCTTCAAGGTTATCCTTCGCATTCCATCCAGCTTTCGAACGGAATTCGAACCAGCCTTTTAAACATAGCCGAAGCTGTGGGAATCAATTGGAGAGAACAATCCTAGTCTTTGCATACAAAAGACGTTTGTTCTACCTTTGTCTCTTCCTTGGCCTTGGTGAAGTCGAGTTAAAACCCTCCCACCCTTTCTTATTCTCCATTTCCTTCGTGTTTTAATGATATTTACTATTTAAACTCTGATTATCTGTCCACTTCACCTACCTTTAGTATTACGTAACTTTTAAGATTTGACCTAATTTATTTATTGAATTGTCTACATATACACGCGTATTACTACCTTCTTTTTTCTAATCGCCACCCACATAAACCTTATTATCATTATTTTTTTATCATTATGATCATCGTTATTACTGAAGTTCAAAACATTTACCACATTATTATTATTTGATCCACAAAATCACCGTCATTGGTTAAATTTTTTACACATAAATCTATGTATATTAGAGTAAAGGGCGGAGCGAACAATATTGTTCGCTCATATGCGTTGTTTTAATATATATAATATATATATATGCTTTTATCACCAGTTCTGTTTCATTTGTTATCAATATCAGAGGACAAAGTTATTATCCTTACTGTGACAAACCATCAACTGTAAGTTGCAGAAGTGAGACTTCATATGGAATGTGCAGTATACAGAAATATACTCAAGCACTACCCACTGAAAATCAGTATTTTACAAATCCAAGAACATTTAATGACCTTCAAGTTGGTAATTATGGTGGAGGAGCAAATTTTATGGATTATTGTCCAATGTTGACGGTTAGTTTATTTTCTGAAATTGCTCGTAATTTTTTTCCAACATAACAGAACACTGCAAATACGGTTTCAACAAAGCATCTCCATTTCATTCTGTTTTCTGCAATTGTCTTTATCTGGCTGCACGATTTCCTGTACACTCTCACCTCCTCTTCACACAAACTCCTCTGTGTCACCTTTGCACAACCAACTCATCGCTTGCATCGCATCTGAGTTCAACTTGAGGGTCTGCGTGGCTCATGACGCCACTCAACGCTCTCCTCAAAATGTATCTTCTCCACCTCCATCTTTTGGCATGTATTTTAGGCACTAGGATTTTGGAATTCTACACTGATTTCCTTTTCTGGCCATGTGATCTTCAGTATGGAGCTAGCGAAGGCAGCTATTGATAAATGTTTACAGTAGCCTGTCATAAATGTTTTCTGTGACGTGCAGTGCAAGTTTCTGAACGATGTAGAAGCACTTATTCGAAATTATGGTTGAGAATCCGAATCTTGTTCTTTATGTTGATTTCAATTGATTTCCACACCAACTTCAGGGTAATGAATTTCTGTCTTGCTTTTCCGAGTGATATCCTGATCCATGCTGTCGCGCGTAGTTGAGACAAAGTGACTTCGTTCAAATGTATTCCGCTTATAGTGATTTCAGGCCAAAGCCGCCAATAGTAACTCCTATAGTTTTAATAAACCAAATCCCTGCTGTAGCCTCTAATGTGCATGAAACGGGCGTTCCAAACTGCGAGAAAAATAAACAAAATAAATACATATAGGCTGGAAGGATGGATATCAGATCGTGGGGTGAAACAGGTAGTAACATTTTAGGATAGTTACTGAAGGGGGTCACTAAAATACGTTTCATTTTCTGTAAGAAGACCATGACATCACGCCATCCCAAATTTTTACAGTAGATACTCTCCATGATTAATAAAGCATTTCATCAATGAATTTCAGTTATGCTTCCTTAAGAATTCCAGTAAATATTACTTCTCAAGTATTGGTTTTGTAGGGACGTTTTTGATTGATTGGAGGATTTCATCATGAGCTGACATCAGTTAGAGAACCAGTACTCCTAGGTTTTCCAATGGTTCTCTAACTGATGTCAGCTCATGAGGAAATCTTCCAGCCAATCAAATATTTTACTTCTGTAGTTCATGTCGTTCAAATGAGTACCTTCAATCAACAAAAAGGTGGTATTAATGTATTATCTATTTTGCTATTTCATAGCTAATGGATTCCTTCGAAAATCTACCTGTAGCATCTGATTGTAGAAACGGACAAAACACGCTGACAATGGGTGAGATTGAACTTTTCTGGCATGAAATATGTTTCTCGATATGATTTCATACCTTTTTAATGGAATAATTATTTACAACTGACTATTGGATGTCATGATATCTGCCTTGATTTCCATCAAACTTGCATGAACCAAGCGTTTGGAAAACAAAGGTATTTCTATGGCCACAGACTTTAAAAAAGGCGTTTAAGTTTGTCTTTCTAGGTTTTTTTTAGATTTAAAGATAAAACTGAACAGTATTAGTGAGTTTCATGGGTATTTGGCCAGTTTCTGATAGGTAGTTTAGAAGTAGATATATGCGACCGAATTTGCATTCATAACAAAACAACCACGAACAACTCGACGTCATTATGCGCTGTAGCATCAAATGTAACTGAGTTTATTAGTAAGATAAGTACCCCACAGTATGCGACTAATAAAAATATACTTAACCAAAATGAATTCTGAAGGTATTTAGGTATTCAAAAAACAAACATTCTTGAACGTGGATTGCGTACAAATGATTATCAACTCATTGTTTCATACTTTAGGGTTGAAATCGTTTGAACTCTAGTTTCTGGTGTAATTGTTGACGTGGGTTTCATTGGTGTCTTAAATTGGGATGGAATAGCTATTAATTGGATCACAGATTTTAGTGGTTAATTAACTAAAACGTCCACCTAAACATAAGTCACATGTGTATATATCCAACATCCAATTATTAGTTAAGAGATAAGATATAGTTTGATTCCAAATGGATTTCCTGAAGTTGTTATGAAGACCCATGACCTGCTGGATCCAACAAACAGAGTGTAAGGACAGATAATCACCAATTATATTGAGTAACGGTGGCGCATCCGTGCTCAAATCTAACGACATATATGCACATAGTTTATTTCCAAATCTATTTCATTCACTGCTGATCTGAGACAGTAAAGTTAGTTTTCAAAAGTTAGTTTGTAGGGAGTTGATTTGCTTCTTGCTTGACCACAGATAAATGCCATTTGGATAACCACTGGGCACTTTTATCCCAGTTCCAGGGATCTTCAGCAGTATGCGCCCCACCTCCTCCCGGGGATTGAGCCCAGGAACTTTGGGTTATGAGACCAAGCCCGCTGATAATTAAGCTACTTGTAGCAATAGCCCACGAATTCTAACTTCTGTCTATTCTCGATTTGGAGCGACCTACAGCCAATGTCATCGGCGAGTATTTGTTCTAGCATCCAACTGGGTAGACCCCACTGGTCACGACTTCTAAGTAGTGGCTTCCGGCTACAGGACTAAGTGACCTGGAATTCTAGTGAGAAATCGTAACCAGTAGGGTCCAACAGGTTGGGTGTAAGGTCAAATACTCGCCGATGACACTGGCTACCGCTTGGGCTGAAATCCCGAATAGACAGAAGTTAGCATTTAATGCGTCATCGATTTCCGTCTCAAATGGCTGCATTGTCAACGAGCTTGGCCTCGCAATCTGAGGGTCCCGAGTTTGATCCCCTGTGTAGTCATGGGTGTGTACTGCTGGAAGGTCCCAAACTAGGAAGAAGCAGCTGGTTTTCAGTGGTTCTCTAACTGACACCAAACCGTGATCAAACCTGAAATGCAGTTATTATTACTTTATAATGCTGTCCATTCATAAAGAGAAATTGTCATTAGATGACAGCCGGAAAGATTTGTAGAAATGAGTATGCTAATAATTAGGAGTCATCTTTATTTTAAAGAAGTCATTTTGTTAGAGATCATAAATTAATCTTATTAGAGCCAAATTCTGTTTCTTTTCTATTATCTAACACATCTAAGACGAAACTTTCACATCTTGTTATTGGAATACCGTAGATAAACGTAGCATTCCGAGGTAATATGTTCTTCTTAGGGTGTGGGTTTGAAGGAGGTGTAACCGCGTTACCTACACAGTTTCACGTAAAGAAGCTGAATGGCTTAAAGCCCATGTATACAAGTATACCTAGTAGGCACTGTTTATATTATTCTAACTGAATCATATGTTACATTTATTTTCAGGTAAGGGAATGAATGTTTATATGCAAACATATGGTGCCCAGTCAATATGCATTGAACATTCTGGACATATGACTTACTATACATATTTTATGAGTCATAATCTGGGTGAAGGTGTTTCTGGTTCCTGCCACTTAGTAAGTTCTTGATTGTATTGAGGTCATTAGTTTATTCATAATACTTTTGTCGTTTGTCTACAGAAAAGTGTTAAAAAATGCCATTAAAACCGCCAATCTGAAATGCTTCAAGGAATATTCTATCTTCGAGATGTATGCAGTAGGTACTCATAGGTACAAAAGCGTCTAATCCAAGACAACCTAAGAAACATATCACGAGGTTTACCATAGAATATTTTTGTTTAATAAAACCGGTTGATTCAGTTTCCGAGACACGATATTCTGCCTGCAACTTACAGACCCATTTCAAAACAGGCACATTTCCAGAAAATTTGCATTTTGGAAAGTTGGAATTTTCGTACCAAATCACATTGAACAAGAATTAACAAAGCGTTTAAAGGTGTTTTTTCATTCATTCATTTTCAGTTTACATTCATTGAGTTTTGTGTGCAGTTCAGGGCTATGAGGTGTAGTTTGTAAGCCCAACCTGCCCTCTTTACAGTTAGTAAACTAGGCAAAATTTTGGAATGCATCACCGGAGAATGAATCTGGACGGCCTGCTTGGCTAATAAGCAGTTCCTCTAGGGAACCACAGACATAAAAAGCACTTAGTTAATATTTACCCAACTGCTTTTACAGAAAGCATAACTTGTATTGAGTTAATCTGCAACAAATCGATCACGAATACTCACAAGTATTGTTAGTGTAATAACATAGTCACTGAACGGAATATTTCTGGTATATTTCTGCTATTAGTATTTTGGTGGATGGTGACTAAAAGTGGAATCCAGGATGGGCATGTCGTCCTATTTGAGACTCGCCATTTGGATTTACCTGCATTCCCCAGTGAGTGATAGCGTCCCCATTGAGGCTGGAACCCAGTACCCATTAATCACCAGCAATGTCCAAACTGGATTAAATAATAACGTATACCTATTGCACAACAGGTGCTTCTTGTGGCCCAAGTAGTCTGGTGGATAACGCTTTGGCGTCTGAAACTATGCATATTAGTTTCGAACCTCAGTGGGAACACAATCACTCAATGGGGAATGCAGGTGCATCCTACTGGCTGACGAGTCTCGAATAGAACGAAATGAGCACCTTGAATTCCACTGCTAGTCACTGTTTACCAGATTACTTCAGGTTAAAACCTAAGACATCGTCGAAGCATCCACACAAGGAGTCGGTACCTCAATAGTTACCCAGCACTTCGGTCCAGTCAGTCAACAGGAAAGTCCAAATTTGATTAAATATTTCTGCTAGTCTTTCTCAGTTTGTATTTAATTTTATTCACTTACTTTCCGAAAGGTTACAGAAAATCCCATCAATGAAACAAAACGAACCATAGAAACACTGTTTTCAGCAATGTAACTCATAACAAATGTTTATGAAATATGTAATCCGTGATTTCAACTTGAATTAGTGTTTGCATATTCAGCAGAAACTTTGTTGATTACATGCCACATAAACGGAGACACCTTCGTTTTGTACGCATAGATCTACTTCTCAGAATGACATTTCATTGTAAAAGAAAATCCACGCACTTATGTCCATCCCTTTTTCTCATACTATAGATGCTTTTGCGATAAACTTAAAAAATTGTTTAGTGTGGCTCATTTAAACTCTTTTTTACTTTACAGTATCACTGCTTAGGCAATAACAGTATGTCTGTTGACTTTGCTGGACAAACGGTGATCTGTTCAAATGGTGAGGTTGTCAAACAAATAGATATTACTAGGCAGTCAAGTCGTTTACTTGGAACGATCAAATGTCCTCCTGTACAACTTTTATGCCCTAAAAATTGATGTATAAGTAAGCTGAGGATATTTCTTTATTTTAAACTCTTTTGTGACTATAAACACCAATGAATGCCTACGAGACAGTGTGATAATGATTCACATACGCATATAAATTACAGTAAACACCGTAATTCACAGTTCAGTGGTGGCTTCAGGAGAATATATATATGAGGATATAACAGAGCTTTCATAACCTTAAGAGTTTGGAAAGCAACCATAAAGTTTACTTGTGTACAAATGTTTCGTAGCGATGACAGGCTTTGAACCTAGATCCTGTGTTGTTTGGCACCTGAAATGAAAAGCATATGTGCAACGGTAGAGATACTGTTGCTTGTAGTTTTGTATGAATATTATTCACATAATGATCTCACCTTTTGATGTGGTTGTGTTCTCTGAGCTGGATAGTTTATTTGCGAAGCTTCCATTACCCTTCTAGGCAACATCTTCAGCGCATACTTCAATTTGGAAGTGAACTTTTACATTTATCCACGATTTGATTATCATCTCTCCTGGTGACCTTGAACGTGATTGGTTGTTCTTGTGTGTTTTCACACCCTCTAGGCTATTTGTATTGGAACTGATTGTTTCCTTGACTTGAACTTTGACCCTTTGTGTGTGAGGTTTCCTTCTTATCAGTTGGTAAATTTTGTCTATGTCGATATGTCTATGTCTATTGATTGATGATTCACTAGAATACCAGGCAGCCTTCCAAAAATTCTTTGGCATTCTTGGTGTTTCCTCTGTCTAATATTTGAACGCTGGTTGTCCCAGTAGAATTGAAGGGAAATGGAAGCTTCGCAAATAAACTATCCAGCTCAGAGAACACAACCACACCAAATTTATCCACCTGAGCTACAAATCTTCCCCATCATATCTAGATCTGACCTTTAACTAATCCAGGTTCATAGATTCCGCAAGATCACTTGTGATACACTACTTTCAATGAACAGTACCACATGAAAGTTACAAATATTGCAGTTTGGCTAAAGAGTTACACTAGAGGTTCTAAGGAAGTTTCAAGTCACCTTAAGAAGCAAAGAAGTTACATATTTTTGTGGCACTACCACAGCAGATACCAGTTTACTCATCTTTATATTTCGTTTTGAATGCCTCTTTGAACAAACTTTCTTTCACAACAGTTTTGTTCAGTTATTTAATCTTCTTGTAAATGTCCATCAACGCCACGAAGACTACTAATATCACCACTACCATCAGATTAATTGGCGATTTGCAATTTAGACAGTTGGAGGCGAAATTCCACCGAATTTTCTCTTGGAAACAAATAGAAACCAAGAAAGTTAGTTAGCAAAGTTGCATGACGCGATGTACTACTGATCGATCAACATGAGTAGTTGAACACTGCTCATTTCAACCAGTTGTGTTTGCTGGCCATATCGAACTGATCCAAACACCGGAGGGTAGTTTCGCTGCAGTTTGTAACACTTCAGTTTCCTTAGCAAGGACTGTTAGTTGTTGTGAGTGGTGTCCGACTACTTGTATCAGTCAATAAGTAGCATATGTCATCATGCATCATCACTAGTACACTTCGAAATGTTATACCACCAATATCCATTCCTATTTCTACTATCTCTTATTAAGTCAAATAATTTCTCTAGAAACGTAATCAATCAATCACAAATATAGAAAGAAGAAACTCTTCATCTGAAGACATTTGGACAGTCTTCTTTACCATTTTTCAGTTTAACTTTACTCAACAAGTGTGAGAAACATACATTTATATTCTATACACAGTTTCGTTAAGAGTGTGAAGGGCATTTGCAACACACATCACTCATCTTGACACTAAAATTTTGAATAGACTGTATTTACTACAAACTTACATAGTAAATATTATTACTATGTAATATTATTCCCTTAGGTGTCAAATGAAACATAGGACTTCAACAGTAGATTTCCCTTTCATCCTGTTTTGTGAAATCTTAATTGACTGGCTCCAGGATTATTCGCAAGCTCTCACTTCCTCGTTACAACATCTCCTGTATGTCATCCTCTTCCGACCAGCTCGTTGCTCGCTTTGCACTCGGCTTCAACTTGAAGACTTGCTTGACGTGTGTTGTCACTCAACAACCTCCTCAGTGTATTTCCAACCCATCTCAATTTTCTTCAGATTATATGTTGAACGATTGGTTGTTGGTCGGTTAATTGGTTGGTTCCCATAACTTCTTGTTGATTATCTCTTCTGGCTAACTGACCTATAGTATGCAACTAGCAAAGTCAGCTGCTGATACGAGTTTGAAGACTGCTTGAATTGTAGATTGTGATGCTCAGTGCAGGTCTCTTGACCACTTGGTAGGAATGACTGACTAGACATTAATGTTTCAAATCCCGATTTTTCCCCTATGCTGAGTGCAGTAGATTTCTGTACGGATTTCAGCTTAGTTACGGTGATAATAAATATTACTTCAGTTTATAGGTGCTAACTATGGAACGAATTTAGTGTGGGGGATAATATTCGTTCATATTGACGATAAACATGATATTTCTTAACAATACCGATGAAAAGAGCTCTGAAAGCGATTTTTACAGTTCGCATACACATCGGCTTATCATGAATACTTTTAGTGTATAAAAATATTTTATATTTCATCCAATAGTCAGATAATCGTATCACATTTTTTCTCTTTAGTACAACAGTATTCATTGAATGGTACAGACAACAGAGAATTTTTTTGAAAAGAATTATTTGTACATTATGATTCCATGTATCTTCATTTTTTGATTCCTATAATAAAAATCATCTGAGCTCATTTCGCTAGTTTTCATTTGCTCACAGTTGGTTAATTTAACATGCATGTTAACGATTATAAGCGGAAGTATTTGTGCAAATTAAGAATTCTTAGGTTATAATACTCAGAAAGTAATTCACTTAAAAAAAAATTAGGTTTTACTTCAAATTCCAATTGAGTAGTCTTCGTTATTACTTTTAATCACGTCATGAATAACACTGATGTTATACTATTAAAATTTGCATAACACCTTAATCAACTGTTTTTTACCGATAGCATCTTATAAGCGGAAAGTGAGTAGTCTCTATATTATGAATAATTACACAGTGAACAAGAGTACATGCATTTCCATTTCCAAGAGATAAGAAAAGGAGACATTATGAATATTCACGCATTAGGTCCTTAGTGTACAACGAGCCTTCAGCAAACATCTTCATTTCTCTCGGTCCACTACCATCACTTCTAACTGCTTCCAGAGCCGTCGGAAAGTATTCATTTCCTCTTCAAAGGGTGTTCTGCATGTATGAATTGATTCTGCTTCTCACAGGCTATGAATCACATTATTCAGTAATCACTTAAGTTTCTAGAGGACAATTTATCCCATTTTTCAAAGAACCTGGTTAGTAATTGCTTCTTGAATTTTTACTTTTATACCACTTACTATGCGTTTGCCTTGTAACCGGAAAATCCTGAGTTTTCAACCCAGTGGGTAAGTACTGCCTATGAGTACCAAACTAAGGCGAAACAGCTGTAGAGTACTTCCTGTCGGTTTTCAGTGGTTCGCTAACTAATATCGATCCCTGATGAAATATGAAACAAATCGAATTCTTACAAACTAACTCTTGAAAATTAATCTGATGCTTGATAGTGACTGGCTGCAGGTCAAAAATGAGGAAAACTACTCTCCAGCGATGAAATTGGCTGGTGCCAGTCATTTTAAAATCAGCAATCGGTAGAGGTTAGAATTCATGGACTGGTCATTGAGTCCGGTTTACATAATAAAAAAGAGAGAAGCAAAATTATGGTAAGAGCTTTACTCTGGCCAGGGTGGAGCGAGTGAATCTATGTATCGTTTTTGAATGTAGAGGTCAGGTTTCAGATCTCAAACAGCTAGTGCTTCACCTATGTACAGATGGCGTATGTGAAATGCTACACAGAGTCCCTCAATATCGTACAAACGGACTTCAGATACACCATCTGTACCAGTCATGCAGATAGTTGCCAGGAGACACAATTCTATCATTCATGGAGAAGTCAAATGAGTTCATTTTATGCTAAACCTTGCGCTGACGATGTTGTCCAGAAGGACGAAGAAAGCTACGCAATTAAACCAACCAGCTCAGAGAACACAACTAATTGCAAATTTCATTATTGTTTGATTGTAGGAAAATAAACGTAAAAATGATACGTAAACATTACAGAAAAGTTCTGCTTATTCACACCGTCACTGCAAATGTCGTAATTATAGCTCATTAAGTTACGATCTCAATATCTTCATCTAGAACAACTGTTTTTACTTTGTATAATGAACCCATTCATGAGGGTTGTTGACCTAGAACACCTAATTACAATTCAAGGGTGTGAATTGATTTTGACCCACTTCTGATTTTTCTTAAGGTCATATTAAAAGGCACACGGCAACTCTTGTTTACAAAATATCAGTTTTTCTGAGTCGTATATACTTCACCGTTATATATAAAGTGATGCTTAAGTTATACACTCCAGATTATGATGCATGATAATCTCAATAGAATTATTAGCTGTTGTTAGAATTGCTTTGAGAGATTTCTTGAAAAAGAAACAACTAGTGAGAAATTTCCGTACAGAAAAGACAACCAGCCTTTCTTATTCATAACTTGAGTAATCATCTCAATGATCAAATGAAATATAAAAATTCGGAATTACAAACACAGTAAGAACTTGCCACTACACAAAATGAGTAACACTGCACTCAACAGTAATTGGGATATTATAATCCCTGGTCGAAAGGACTATGTTTCCACTTCAGTTACCCACAATATTAATTGAAATCTTAGGGATTCAGAAGTGCAAAATTCACGGTCTAAACACTCTGGAAACTACTTATTTCTAACTGTCTCCATAATTCGATAACTAAACGGTTAGGATAAGAATTGGAATATATATATATCATTAAATTCAGTGTAGAAGTTGGATTCTACCTATAGCAAAACCGTCAAAATTATAAGTAAAATGAAGTTGGAGAGCAAAAAAGAGAGAAACTGGGCAAACTGATATCTT